TGCAAAATAGAGAGATGTTTTTAAAAGGGAAACGGTTACAGGAGATGATTACTGCTGAGTCTGAAATAATCCATCAGCGGTAGAATGTTTTTACAGCCCTTGAGAGCCTCAGAGGACAACGGCTTTCACAGAACCTCAGCAGAAATCGGGATCTGTATAAATACCATTACCAGGAGGGCCATGGAAACCACGAGCCCCAGCATCCTGGCCCAGCCAGGGAATGAAGAAAAGAGCTCCCTTTCTCTTCCAGCTGACCAACACCAAGGATCCACATTACTTGCACAGTTTTCATCTTTCACCCAGATCTTCAGTGTTACACAATTTATCACACTTGTTCTCATATTCCGCTTCATGATTGGTCCAGGGACCCAAAGTCTTCTTAGCATCTAATCCCTCCTCATCTTCCCCTCACATTGACTTCGTTATCCCGAACTGATCATTGTGTCCCATCTATCTTTCAGCATGACTTCCCTTCCCTGACTCTTGTATTGTTCATAATTATATAACCTGTGTCTCTCTAATACAGCCATGAAGTAATGAGGTTAATTTTGCCATTTCCTTCCCGTGGGGCATCCCTTTGGGTGAGCTATTGAAACATCCTTCAGTTGGACGTCTTTGGCATCCATCTTGCTTCTTGTTGATCCTTACAGTACCATCCTTCTGAAACTAATTGGAGTTTACTTACTTATGTCCTTACTATGCCCTTTAGTTAATTCTCAAACTTCTTAACCTAGCACTCCTTTAAACCTAGTCACAATGCTTTTATTATTTTTACCTAGTACCGCTTGCACCTGTAGGTACATACCAGAATTACATGCTCTATACCTGCCTTAGCTTGTTTTTCTGTTGCTATAATAGAATGCCCAAGACACAGTAATTTATAGAACAAGAGGGTTATTTGTCATGATTTTCATGACTGGGATGTTGGGGAACATAGTGTCTGGCTCAAGCTCAGACCCTGGTGAGGTCCTTCCTGCTGGGTCATAGTACAGCAAAAGGTCTCCCATGAAGCAGGGCAAGAGTGCCACCTGCTCTGGTGGGTTAACTAAAATGTCCCCATAGTCTCAGGCATTTGAATGCCTGGTTCCAAGTTGGTAGCACTGTTCAGGGAGACTCGGAAGGTGTGGCATTGCTGCAGAAAGCCTGTCACTGGGGATGGGCTTTGAGGATTTAAAGACATGCCATTTCTAGTTTGATCTCTCTGTTTCATGCTTGCAGTTCAAGATGTGACTTGAGCTCTCAGCTGCCTCTTCAGCTGTCATTTCTGCCACTACTGCCTCTGCTCCATCATCATGGACTGTAACCTTCTAGAACCATAAGCCCAAATATATCTTCCTTCCATATAAGTTGTCTTGGTCATGGTGTTTTAATACAGCAATGGAAATATACCTTCTTTCCATACGTTGTCTATCTTTTTTTTTTTTTTTAGATTTATTTGTTTATTATGTATACAGTGTTCTGCCTGCATGTGTCCCTGTGGGCCAGAAGAGGGCACCAGATCTCATTACAGATGGTTGTGAGCCACCATGTGGTTGCTGGGAATTGAACTCGGGACCTCTGGAAGAACAACCAGTGCTCTTAACCTCTGAGCCATCATACTCCAGTCCCATAAGCTGTCTATCTTGGTCATGGTGTTTTATCACAACAATAGAAAAGCAACCAATACTTTTCATAACAAAGAAGTTTCTCAATAAACAATATATTTAACTGATGAATAAGTTAATCTATTTATGAGGGAAGAGCCTTCACCAGGCAGTCATCCTTCCTGGAAGGTCCCACCTCTAATCACCATCTGGAGATTAAGTTTAAAACACATGAAACTTAGGGGATGCACAAAAGCCACAGTAATGATTTTTTTATTCATTGCTCTTTCTTCAATTGTCTTTTCAAGCCCAACACAAACATCACCTCCTACTTCATTTCCTTTAGGATCTGCCTATAGCTTCCAAATTCAGAAGCCATTATGTGACTATAGAAACTTTCAGGCTCTATATTCTTTTTGATGTTCAACTATTACCTTTCAGTGGTATTTTTGACTTTTAAAACTTGAACCTCAAGTAGCAAAGGTCACACTCTTTTTTAAAAAATGCATTTATTGAAGAAAATGTTGATCAGATTAGCAGATGACACATTGGGATCAAGTTATTCTATTGGGAGAGAGGTGCTTATTACTATCCGGTAATTGCTATGCTGAAAAACAGAGGAAAGCATGTGAAGACAGAGGTTCATTCAACATGTCATTTTTTTTTTCAATTCAAACTGGGCTAATTCACTTATTCATTAGAAAGTGAAAGACATGGATGCCCTGGAAAGACTAATGAATCAGCCCGATTATGCCATGGGCTTCTAAGTCTATGGGAATAGTGTTTCTTGCTCTTGAACTCCAAGAAGCATGAGCCTGTGGGGAGACAGGTCCCAACACTACCCAGTTTTTCTGTTTCTTTCATTGGTACTTATGAGTGGTGGAGACTTGGGTGGCATTGTCATTCACTGCTGAGCATAGCATGGCCAAGTTTGTTTGGAAAATGCCTGTTTGACTCTAGTGAAATGCCAACAAGTCACAATATTCAAAAATTCTAAGAGAAGGAGGTAAGTCCTTCAGCTCTTAAAATCAGAGAGAGGACATCCCAGATATTTAAACACTATTAACCATACATGGTACCTAAAAAAACACATGGATGTTTATTCTCCCTATAGTTGTATTTACATCAAGCTTTTAAAATTCAGTTTTTATTATTCTATTTCTTATTTGGAACATATGCCATGGCTCATAAAATATTTATTCTAACAACACAGAGTACTCTTTGTGGATGAATAAATATTGAGATAAGAATCCACTTATTCGAAGTAGCCCTCACCAGAAAGTTAGTTTTATTGGTTATTGCTTTTTATTGCTATGCTTCAGCATCTCTAAGGGAAAAAGACTGTCTAGATACATGATCCTGATGGGTGCTTTAGGATACATGGAGTTCTGGGGGGTTTTGAAGTCAGTTGCCACAGCCAAAAGGATATGGTCAATATATGACATATGGTGGTTACCTTGTATTGAGGTCACATTTCTTGTTATAGCATTATTGCTTGGTGGCATGTCCCTTAGCTGATGGACAGTTTACAGAATATGACAGAATACCCCCAGGAAAGATTATTTTCTAGGTGCTTTAAATAACTGGCAGAAACGTTCATCTTGGGCTGAATTCTTTGGGAGTCTTCTTCTTATTGATAATATCTTTGAGATATTTATAGGAAAATAATAATTTTGATCATTTTTATTAACAACTAGATTGATGTTTGCCTTTCATGATGATGAGTGGGGCTTACTTTCCTTTCCTGGAAGAGATAGGACTTAGTGTCTCATACCTAATATGAAAAGGGGACAAACTATAGCATACCAATACTTACTGAAAACCCTGGCAAGTACCAGTTTAACCTGGTGATTAATGTCACTATCTTGACAATGCCGTCCTGATAGACTGTTCATCCTGCATATGACATTACTGATGCACACCAAACCCTATTCTCTTTATAATTATTCTATAAATCCAAAGTTATTTCAAACTTAAAGGTTTAAATTAGTCTTGGTAGGTAATTTGGATTATTCTTCCATCTGCTGTTAGTTCAAGAAAATGAATGGAAGAAAATTATTGATATAGATTGGAAGCTAGTACTTGTAACAGATCTGATAGTAAACTGCTATCCAAAATATACAAAAAAAACTCTTAAAGTAAACACTGGGAATAATCAATTTGATTTCACACTGGGCAAAACAAACCCACACAGACATTTAAGCAATGAACATATTAACACATGTATGACAACGAAACATGTGAAAAATTGCTCAGGTGCAAATTAAAGCAGCTGTGGGACTTCACCAGGTACCTAATCAAATGGCCCAGATTCACAACAAAGACCAGCAGGGGTATAGTATTCTCTTTCATTGCTGGTAGGAGCATATAATGGTCCAATCACTCTTGGGGACATTTTAAAGTTTCTTATAAAATTAAACACATCCCTACCATGTGATCCAATAATCACACCTCTTTATTTCTACCTAAATGAGCTAGATATTTAAGCCTACCTAAAAACACACATGCACATTTTGACTGTTTTATTCATAATAGATAAAATCTGAAAAGATCCAACATATCCTCTACAGATGAAAGGAAAACTCTACTGTGGTACAATGAGACAATGGAATGTTACATAACACTAAAAAAAAAAAAAAAAGAGTTACCAAACCACAAGAAAACATGGGAAACGAAAGAAGTCAATCTGAAACGTGTTACATATTATAGGATTACAACTTACAACTCTATAACGTTTTGAAACAAAACATGTGGCTATTTTTTAAATGGTGAAGAACGTGAAGGATTTGGGAGACAGTGGACGTGACCACTATGATACTACAGTGGTGGCTATGTATCATAAGCTTGCCCACAAATAAAGCCTAGTGTGAACTATAACCCTTAGGTGCCAGTTTGGCGCTGTAGATTCCTCAATTATAAAATGACTTACTCTGGAGTAAGTAGAAAATGGGAGAGGTTCTGTGTATGGGGGACAAGAAGTATAAGGTAACTTCACATTATTTCACCTAAATTTTGTCATAAATCAAGAACTTCCCTTTAACAAATTCAATATAATTAAGGAAAACATTAAAGTGCTTACCAGGTACCTCTAAATCATGTGCTTATTCTCAAGCTCCATAGTGATTTCAATGTGTCATACCCTACACTGAAATTCTTCATAGGATGCCTCTACCACCTTTAAATTTGTGATCTGTGCTAATGGCCAAACATCAGTTCTCCCTCCTTTACATCTGAGACTTTCCAGCACAATATCTGATTGGATTTGATTGTAGCTGGAGTTTTCTCCAGTCCTGCCCAACCTCACGGACCCCACAACCGCTTATAAAATAATCACTCAGAAGCTCATATTAATTAAACTGCTCGGCCATTAGCTCAGGCCTACCACTGTCTAGCTCTTACACTTAAACTCAGCCCATTTCTGTTAATCTATATGTCGCCACATGTTCCGTGGCTTTACCTGCTGCCTTTACATGCTGCTCCCTGGACAGCAGGCTGGCGTCTCCCCCTCTCAGCTTTCCACTGCCCATACTTCTCCTCTCTCTTTGTCCCACCAATCCCTGGCAGTCCCGAAGCCCGCTTATAAAATAAACGTACAGATGTTTACATTATTTAAACTGTTTAGCCTAATGGCTCAGGTGTCTTGCTATCTACTTTCTATATCTCAAATTAACTCATATTTATTAGTCTATAAGTTGCCACATAGCTCATGGCTTACCGGTAACTTACATCTCGCTTATCATGGCCATTGGCTGGCCGCGTCTCTCTGTTTCAGCCTTCCACTTCCCAGACTTCTCCTCTCTCTTTGTCCTGCCTATACTTCCTGCCTGGCTACTAGCCAATCAGCATTTTATTTATCAATCAATCAATCATCCACAGCATTTGATTTTGTTTATTTCCCTCAAGCCAACCTGCTCATTTGGGTTTCCTGGCACTGTGGGACAAGGATTCCTCATTCTACTCCTGTTATCCTTCAAACTTCCCTTCATCTCCCACACTCCAGTCCATGGAACTTCATAGTGGTTCTTGCAAATGCTAGATCTGTGTTCATCTGGTACTTTTATATCTACTGGGTCTGGTAGTCCTAACGGTTTTCCTTCCTTCTACAGGCACAGCTCTCTCTACCCTCTAATACACGGCACAGTTCTCTCCTCTTCTGGGGAACATACCCACAGCCCTTTTACACCTTGCAAGGTTGAGTTGTCTTTTGGGAGGTTCACAGAAAAATTTTTCAAGATGTTACAAGGACACCAAGTTGAAGTCGTTATAATAAAACATGTGTCTAATCTAAAACATCATGAACTTCCTTTAAAAAAATTATTTAATTTCTTTTATGTGTATTTGTGTGCATGTATATCTGTGCACCACATATGACTATACAGTGCCCATGGAGGCCAGAAGAGGATATTGAATTGCCAGGAACTGGAGTTACAGATGGTTGTTAGCCACCATGTAGGTGCTGAGAATCAAACCCAAGTCCTCAAGATGAATAGCTAGTGTTTTTATTAACTGAGCTACCTCTGCAGCCCTACCATGAACTTCTTAACAGTGAGGGCCTGTCACAGTCAACCATCAGGTCCTATGCCTGGCATTTATGGAAGATTAATGCTCCAAGATTTCCATTAAATTGTTGGGGATGCCTTTGATTTATTGTTGAGTTGAATGCCTTTGATAAGGAACAGTGTACTTCTATGTAGAGCCACACAGGAATCCTGTCAATGCACACATTTTTACCCATTACCCAGGTCAGTGCTGCCACTCATCATTCTTCTCTTTCCATTATGATTCATTCATCCATTCATGTATTTCTTCATATTTGTGTTAGACAAAGAATAGTGGTCCTTCAACAAGTCACTTTAGTATTTCAGAAATCACAGGCAAGGTAAATTTGACTCTGCCTTTAGGTCTTACCCTGTTTGCAACTCCCAGCTGAGTGTTATGATCAACATCTTTCATGAAGTCAATGTGGATCACAGTTGATCCTTGGTTAATGTTCTAGCTAGTGGTTAACTGTCAACTTGTCCCAGCCTGGAATCACAAGACACAGCAAGTGAGTCATTGCCCTTATCAGATTAGTCTGCAGGCATATTTGTACATGACCATATTTATCATCAGTTTGATGCAGGAGAGCACAGCCTGCCATGGTTGGCACCCTCTCTATGCAGGTGGGTCTGGCCTATCTAAGAAACCTAGCTACATATGAACCTATGAATGAGAAAGCCAGTAAGGAACATTCCTTATGGTTTCTGCCTCGAGTTCCTGCTGGAGCTCCTGTCCCAACTTCCCTCAATGACAGACTGTGACCTGGAAGTATAACTTAAACACATCACTTCCTCCATAAATCGCTTGTGATCATGGCATTAGTTACAGCAATAAACAGGAAACTGGAATCGTTAGTTTGGGTATCTATATCTTGAGACTCTCTTCCATAAACACTGAGCCCATTGCCTATGTCTAGGACCCATTCCAGCAGAGAAGACTTTGAATAATTCAAGTATTGTATAATCATGTTATTTGTATCCCCTGACAGCAGAATTTACAATGCCTCGTTTAATGAGAAATTGAATGGAATATGTGTTTGAAAAATTAATCCATTTTAATAATATATGGCCCTGAGACTGGCCATCCCTGGCAGAGTTTAAACCTATAAACTAAGGGACCATGAATACCAATTACAGTAAAAAGTAATGAGATATGTATTATTTCCCTAAGAAAATTACTTTTAATAATATGCATTCTGACATCCTTGAGATTAATTGCACAATTATGCAGTGCCAAAGTGTAATGAGTAAAACTCTAAGCTGTGGTGAGGAAGAAGGGAGCATCACATTTACTAAAAACCTCAAAAGCCTCACCCCTGTAGAAACACACTTACACAGTTACTGAAGTTTAAAGAAGATAGCTTTCCAATAAAAATCTTGATCAATCTTCCATTTAGCAAAACCCAGGGATTTGGGGTAATTTAACAGTTAGTAAAAAGAATAATGGCTAGTACACTGTGAAACACACTGAGCTGAAACAGACTGAATATTGAAAAAAAATAAACAAAACACAAGGTTGTTCACCAAAGGGAGGCTGAATAAATAGATTTGAGAAGAAAACACAACTCTGGAAATGCTTTTCCATTGCCTTATAAAAGCACTGCTCTCAGCAGGCAGACATGAGGGTGAATGAATTGGGAAAGAAATTACAGGTGAGAAATTAGCTTTGAGGTTTTGGCAGTTCGCCACTCAGGACCTACAGATCAGAAATTCTGGGCCGGAAGTTATAGAAGGCACAGCCCCCTGAGTAACACAAGAGAGTTGTAGAGTTCCATGAATACCTAGCTGGTCCCTGTGTGGTCCCAAAAAACAATCAGGACACATCCAAAAAAGAAGCTTTCCTACTACACTGGAGCCAATTTTAGTCAGGCAGCTCTGATGACCAGAAAGTTCCCTCTGTGTTACACAGAATAAAAGCATATCTGGTCCTTTTAAAGCAACGGTCCTGTGGCCATGCTGGCAGGAATGAAGATATTCTAATGAGACACCTGTATCCTCCTCATGGCTATCAGACTATCAGAACAATGAACCCCAAGAAATTGGGGGGCCACAGGAAACTTGCTGGGAGAAGGGAAGGCTGAGGTCTTTGGACCAGCCAGAAGGGGTGCTTAACTCCTGGAAAAAGATTGCACAAATTTCTGATGATTTGTCAGACAACGTCATAGGAGAGCCTCGGGATGAGGATGGGTGTTACCATATCTTGACAGGCACAGCTTTTCTATGCATACTTCTGGTCTTCTATTCAAAGCCAAACCTCAGGCTGGAGATAACTCGGGGCCAAGAGCATTTACTGCTCTCTCGGAGGACCTGAGTTTGGTTCCCAGCACCCACGGGGAGGAGATAGGCTTGCAACCTCCTGTAACTCTAGCCACATAAGATACAACACTCTCCTCAAAGGTAGCTAGCTTATGAGCACCACACACACACACACACACACACACACACACACACACACACACACAATCAAACATAAAAATAAATCTTTAAAATCTAATCAGGATGTTAGAATCTTGGAGATAGACTTGTGGAGGAGATTCCGCTGGATTTCTTTATCATTGAATAAAATTAATGTTTCTGCTTTTTTGCTATTACATGTGTAATTGGCTTCTTGAGGCTGGCTGGCCAAACCTGTTTGGTTAAGGGTAATCAGGGCTCAGGCTCTAACCTTAACCCTGATATGGGTTCCACATCTACCCCAAGGTGCCACTAAGAACAGCACTTGAACGAAGAGCCCTGTGCACTTGACTGAAGACATCTACTATGCCCCCGTTTGTCACCTCTCACATCAGGACTTTCAGTGAAATAGCACAAACAGGTCATTTCAACACCAAGTTCTGATGGAATTCAAGCTGCTAAAAGGCAAACTATCTTACTCCTAGATTTTTTTGAGTTTATAATTAATTTTCTGCATAGTCCTGCTATAAATAGCCATTTTAGCCCCCCAACAATGGCTGAGAAGGCCACCCCATGACAGCTCCTGGATGGGCACTCCCACCACAGCTGGTTGCCTAGTCCCTCTGTTCAGTCTGCCCACCCATGAGTGACAGGGTGGAGCCTTTATACTGCTCTGATGCCCATGGCCCCCGGAAGCCACTGTCCATCATCCATACTGTGGAAGGGAAGAAAGCGGTCAGCACACAGATTGCAGCTTACAGACTCACTGTAGCCTTGTGAACTTCGCTGTTGACTTCTGTATTGGCTTGTCCCATTCTCACAGAAGTGTTGTTAACCATCCACTTGAAAGTCAGTGTGGTGGTAATCTAATTGTACTGAATTATTATTTTGATTGTATGTTAATAAATAAAGTTATCTGGGAGTCAGAGCTATTAGAGCCATAGCAAGAGTGTGGCGGTGGTGGCACACGCCTTTAATCCCATAGATATCTGTGTGTTCAGGGTCAGAGCTATTAGAGCCATAGCAAGAGTGTGGCGGTGGTGGCACACGCCTTTAATCCCATAAGATCTCTGTGTGTTCAGGGATACAGCCAGCATTGGAGACATATGCCTTTAAGACCTAGGGGGCTGTACATTCAGACAGTGACGAGGCAGTCATGTGTTTGGGTTTACAACCAATGAGAAGGCAGAACAACATACTTTAAAAAAACGAACCGACAGGAAGTAGGTCTCTTTTCGAGAAGCTGGGACAGCAGGAGGAAGGGTGAGATTTTAGCTCTGAGCTCTGACTTCTCGGCTTTCTCTTTTACATTGTTTCTGTGTTTCTTATTTAATAAGACGGTTGGTTACATCTACAAGTCAGTTTACTAGATTTCTATAGGATTTCTTATATATCGATATATCTTTCTTGAGGAGATTTATTTTTTTAATTTCAAGGTTAGCTGGTATTTGCACTTAGATTATTCTAATTGCTATGTATTATAGGCAGGAGTCTGTGCCCAGGGAGGGACCCACCTTGCATGAAGGCTCAGATATATATATTTTTTAAAGATTTATTTATTATGTATATAGTGTTCTGTCTGCATGTGTGCTTGCAGGCCAGAAGAGGGCATCAGATCTCATTACAGATGGCTGTGAGCCACAATGTGGTTGCTTGGAATTGAACTCAGGACCTCTGGAAGAGCAGTTAGTGCTCTTAACCACTGAGCCATCACTCCAGCCCGAAGGCTCAGATATTAATAGATGTTAGAAGTTTGTATCCAAGTATATATAATTTGTTGAGACTTTACAGGTTGTATTTGCTGTAGGTGTAACACTTCTTGTGCGATGCTTCCTCATTTTACAGGTTGGACCGATACTTATAAAGCTTGAGAGAAAGGGCAGTGAATTCAGTTTGGTATTTTTTGTGCTATTGCTGGGCCCTAGGCTTTGGCGGCTCTCTCTTGCCTGTCAGCTAGCAGGGCCAGGACAGGGCTCAGGGTGACTTTCCTTGGAGCCCAGCACATGGTTTATCAGCCCCTCCCTGGCAGACGTACTTTTGCTGATGTAGCCAAATGATTTTCCAAAAATAAATAAATAAATAAATAAATAAATAAATAAATAGATAACGAGTTCTGGTTACCACCTGTGCCTCTTACCTTGTGTTCTGGGACCTGGGCAGCTGTACCCTCACTACCCGTGGGGACAAGTTCTGAGGTTTGTCCCTAAGAGGAGAGGGATAACACCTGTTGAGAAATCCTCACCTGCTGGTGGTCCCTAGAGCAAAGTGCTGGACTCGGGCTCCAAGTGGACTTACTACTTTTGCTTTTTCTTTCCGGGTTGAGGGGTAGAGCTGGGAGATCAGGTGGGCTTGAACTTGGAGAAGCTCTTTTCCTCCAGCTTGATTCTGGGCCAAACTATGTGGATGCTCCTCATCTGAGTCCCGGCTCCAGCTGAGTAGCCTTGCAGTGATCTCATGTGGTTGGTCCAGCAGATTGTGTGCTGCTCTTGGACATTCCCATCAATGTTAGGTGAAATCCAGGACATTTTTGATAAGGTATTAGGTACGTATCCTATTGCTAAAGTTCTTGTGCATCTGTACAAGTGGATCTATGAGAAAGCACTGTAAAAACAAAGCAACAGAAACGAAAGATTTTAATTCTGTAACTGGAAGTCGGTTTATCTGTAGTTCCTTCTTTCTTTCTTTCTTTTCTTTCTTTCTCTCCTTTTTTTTAAGACAAGGTTTCTCAGTGCATAGTCCTGGCTATTGTGGAACTTATTCTATAGACCAAGCTGGCCTCGAACTCACAGAGATCCTCCTGAGTCTGCTTCCCGGGTGCTGGGATTAAAGGTGTGTGCCACCACTGCCCAGCTTATCTGTGCACAGTAATATCTGTAGGGAAAGGATTAATAATGTAATTTTGGAATCAAATCCTCTCCCATATAAAGAGTCTTGGGACATTTTTTTAAAGAACAAAACAATAAAACAAAGAAACAAAAAAGCCCCACAACCTTAATAGCTTAGCTCCTAACTAAATTAATTGTGAATATTTGTTAAACCTTCAGGTTTCTTTTGGGGATGAGCAGGGGTTTATTTGAGTTTCTTAATGGCTATGCACAGATCTTTGGGTATAATGTACTGCACAAAAACAGCATTTGGAGAAAAAAACAGGCCTAAGTTTTGTACATGTGTCGTAATGTGTAATGGTCTCAACCTATTGGTCCTATTCTGTCAGTTCTCCTAGGTTTATACTGGGATTCAAGGCACACACCACACTCAACCAGAAAAAGTGCTTTATATGAATGGAATCATGTAGTATGTCCACGTGCAGCCCACTTGATATTCATACATGCCTGTTTTGCATGTATTAATAGTTTAGTGGGCCGGGCATTGGTGGCGCACGCCTTTAATCCCAGCACTTGGGAGGCAGAGCCAGGCGGATCTCTGTGAGTTTGAGGCCAGCCTGGGCTACCAAGTGAGCTCCAGGAAAGGCGCAAAGCTACGCAGAGAAACCTTGTCTCAAAAAACCAAAAAAAAAAAAAAAATAGTTTAGTGGTGTTCATTTTTTTTTTTTCTTTTTGAGGCAGGACTAATATAGTCCAGGGTGGCCTTGAATGTGTTGTGTAGCTAAGAATGTCCTAGAACTCCTGCTGATGGCCTTGGTGTCATGTCTAGATGGTCTGTTAGAAATACACAATTATGAACATTCATATGCAATGATTCTAATAAACATAGAGTTTTACTTATTTTGTATAATTCTTAAGAGCAGAATGTTTGTATATATAGCAAATTTGTTGTTTTTTTTTTTTTTAGTTTTGTCTGATTGTTTGTTAGATTAAAAAAAAATTAGGGGGGTTGGGGATTTAAATTCAATCCTAGCCAGGTGGTGGTGGCGCACGACTTTAATCCCAGCACTCAGGAGGCAGAGGCAGGTGGATCTCTGTGAGTTCAAGGCCAGCCTGGTCTACAGAGTGAGTTCTAAGACAGCCAGGGCTACACAGAGAGATCCTGTCTTTCTTTTTTTTTCCTATTTTTATTTATTTTTCTATTATCGCCTTGATACAGTATAAATTCTTACCCTAATAGTGCAGAATTTTAATCCCAGGTCTCAGAAAGGCAGATTCAAGGCCAGCCTGCTCTACATAGTGAGTTCCGGGCCAACCATTGCTGCACAATGAGACCCTGTCACAAGAGTAACTAAAAAGAAGTATTTTTCTTTATTGTCAGTATGAAGTTTGTTCTACTTTCTTGACATAAGGCCTGTGTTGGTCGGCTCTTCTAAGCAGTAGGCTCTCATTTCTAGTCCTATCTATTGACTTTTCTCATGGCATTATTTTCCTGTAAGAGGTAATATGCTGTTTGTCACATAATATTGCCAACAAGTATGAATTTGGCGTTGGATTCTATTTGAGTTTGGGTTTTCTATTCATTTTTAAAGTTTTGCTCTGGGTTCACTTGAGTTCTGAAAACACATTGGTTCTTACTGCTCCTTGGTTTAGAAATAAGCATGCATCTAAGCTTTCAGTCTGAATTCCCTTTGGCCTCTTGTGCTCTGATGTTGTAACCCTGGCTGGCGTAGAACTCTCTGTGGAGATCAGGCTGGCCTCAAACTCAGATTCCCTCTGCTAAATGCTGCAACTAAAGGTATATGCCACCAATGCCAGGGAGGTTGACTTTTTACAAGTCACTCATTTCCCCATTATGTCTTCTTTTCTACTTTATTTATTTTGGCAGCATGTGTGGATATGTACATATGCATTCATGGTGCCTACAGAGACCAAAAAGAGACATCAGATCCCCTGGACCTGAAGTTAGAGATAGTAGTGAGCTGCCATATGGGTGCTGGATATCAAATCCAGGTCCTCTGAAAATGCAGCTAGAGCTTCTAACCACTGAGCCATTGATCCAGCCCCCTTTCAAGTTTTCATAGAACCTGATGATTTAAGAACCTTTGGGCCATTGTTAATGTCTCCTGTCACTTATATTGGGAGGCAGAGAGAGTGGTATTCACAGTCAAGCCTGTTTCTATCTCATTCTAAGTTATCTTATAGTTCACAGAAAACTTTGTTTTTTTCCTGAAAATGATACATTAGTGACTCATTGTTTTTGTTGGGTAGAAGGTTATGACCCAGTCTTTCTTCTTTCCTTACAGAGAGAATTTGGGAAAGCAACAACAAGGCATCATTCCTGAAGAAGATTTTGGGTAACAGGAGTCCTGGATAGCCAGTAAGTGTATTTGGACTTCCTTGGTGGTGGTCATTTACCATAATCTGAAAGTGCAGTGGAGGAGGAAGGAGAAGATGAAAACATACGTGTGCTTAGTGTCAAATGTTATCATATGGACTTAACATGTGACAGAGATTCTAGACACCATCTAGGAAGGATTAAAACATTAACCTTAGTATACCCTGTTCTGTGCACATCATTTTGCATCATCTTTTCAGTAATTCTTATTTAAAAAGTGTCTAGAGACTGAAATATACAATTTAATTCATCTTACTGTAATAAATTTTTCACTATGTCTTTGAGACTTTACTGTTCAGAGGGGTAACTTCTGAAGTGACTTGGAGATTTTACTTTGGCACTTGTAATAATGTTATATTTAGATGTGTGGAGATTTCTATAACTGATTAAATGATAAAATCTGGACTGTCCTCAGGGACATGTACCACACTCAATAGCTTTAGAACAGAGAAGTACACCAGGAACACAGGACAGATTCTCAGAGGCACAATGACAAGAAGGAACATGGCATTTCAATGACTCACCCTGGAATCTTCCTTGATGTTTTTTCATATTCAGTGGCAGTTTCCATTATGAACTCACCTACATTGTAAACTTCACGTTTGCCTTGTCCCGTGTCCCACTTTAGACAAGCAGTTTCTTCAAGCTAGACAGACAAAAATCCTTCCATCAAGAATTCTTACCCCCGGGGTTAGCTTTGATTAAGAGCATCAGTCATTTGAAACAAATGTCTGCACAAATCACTCACAATACACTATGTACAATAGTCTCTAAATTTCAGAACCATGAGAAAATGCTCTAAGGCAAATCCACAAGTTGGTCATGAAAAGTACCAGGGAAGGGCCCCTGAGATGGCTAGCTGAATGGAAGGGGAGAACTTCCTCCTCCCAATTTGTTCCTTGGCCTCCACATGAACAGAATGACAGACTGGTATGGCATGGATTGTATGTTCTCTATCTGTCTGTCTATCTTCACCCTCTCTCTAAATAAGTAAATAAGTAGATATTCTTTTTTTTAATGTACTCATCAGATTTCCATATATTCATCCTATGAAAGCTTATTTTAAAATGACAGACTAAAGAAATAATTCATGTTTAAAATAATGAAAAAAATCACCTTTTTAGATCATAGTTTTTACCATAGCCAAAAGGGAATCTGCCCCTTAACTTTAGGGATATGAAATTCTGAATCCTGCCCCCATAAAAGTCATGAATTTCTACTTTGTTTTAAAGAAACTATCATTTCTATTTCTCAGGTCCAGCTGTTAGTTTGGTAAGAACCATTGACCTTGTGCCAGTGGTTCAGACCAACTGTGCCTATGGGAAGAAGATTAGCACTGTAGTGTTAGCCTAGAGTTTGTCTTCACAGCGTAACGATGTTGCCAATCTAACTTAAAGGGAAAGATCACTCCATTTAACAAATGGAGAAAAGGAGAGAGGAGGGGCAAATATACTGGGAAAAGTGGCGAGTTTTCATCTCTCTTTCCTCCTCGTTGGTGTGTCTTCTATTTCTGGGGAAATAGAAGCAGTATTGTCTTATTGGGTAGGACAGTTTCCCAGTGCTTACATCACTCCTATCAAGCTTGATAGGCACACCTGCAAACCAAGCATTAGAGAGACAATGGAGGGAGTATCCTGAGTTGATGGAACTCTCACCAGGTCCCCATTACTCCATTTTCTCAGCACAAGAGATGATTATATACCTGTGTTCATTGATCAATTCCAAGACATGCTAAGCATGTGTCAGTTAATGGTGTCAGCTAAAACAGACGTTTTCATCATAGTAATTTAACTACTTAGTAAGGAAGCAGCATTCCCTCTTCATAATGCAATTTGTGTTCCCTATAACCTCACAGGTCTAATTTTGAAGTTACCTATCTAGGATCATCCTCCTGATGAGTACTGTAATATTGATTCTCTCTATTGAAAGTTAATGTATAGGATTCAGAATGAGAATAAATGATGCTTTTGTGAAGTTTTAGATGGCGAAGGACCCATTTGCTCTACCGGACCCAAATCATGGGTAGGCAAGGAGAAACTCTTCAAATGCTGGTTTCTAGCAACTTCTGCTCTTTTCCCTGTTGGAAGCAACTGTAGGGAGAGTGACTAGGCAAGGACAATGGCATGTCATTCCTGCCAGTGTTATATTTCTCATTCTCATGAGACCTAATGGATCAGGAACTTTATGGGATTTATCACATGGACTTGACCATACCCCATGTTACAAACCTCATCCTGGGCTCTGAGACTCTTGATCTAGGTCAGTGCATTTGAACTCTTACAATGTCCAAGGCTTTTAGATCCCCTCCTCTGCTCCTCATAGATTTTTCTTCTTCTTTAGTCTTACCTCTGTTTTTTGTTCATTTCTTTCCATTTCTGATGGCTGCCACCTTCTTCTGCCTTTGCTATTCTTGAAGGATTCAAGGGATTCTACAGCTGAGACATTCCCTCAACCCTGTTACTGCCATTGGGAGTAAAACCTAGAGTGCTATCCTCAGTCATTTTATTTCTGATATCTGCTAGGGGCATTCAGGACACCAGGCACAAGCTAGGCCTCTTGGATGTATTTCCTATGTGGGGAACTGAGTGTTTGTTTTCCAAACACTGCACAGGAATATCTCATTCTTTCATCAAAATCAAAATATTCTTTCATCATATTGAGAAAGAAATACTACTAGGAAATTACATCATATGAATGGGAAGAAGAAAAGATCACTTGCCTCAAATACAGAAGCATGGAAACACACCCAGGAATCTGTAGGGCTGGCTACAATGTTGGATTTGGGTAACGGGGTACACTCAGAGAAGCTACATGCCTAGCTGTTGAAAACTGCCCCAGAGGTGTCTCAGCAGATAGACAATATACCCATGAGGATGCTGTAATGAACTGTTGGCAGAAGTAACTCGAATAGTGGAGCCACCAAAAGAAAAAGCCCTCAGGTTGAGTGTGGTGCTCTCCAATCTGCACTTAAGAGACCAAAGGAGGCTTGGGGATTTAGCTCAGTGGTAGAGTGCTAGGCAAACACGAGGCCCTGGGTTCAATCATCAGCTCCAAAAAAAAAAAGGAACATAGATTGCATGCCTCTGTGAGTTACACATTAAATGTTGAAAGAAGAAAAGGCAGCAGGCAGCTGGGCGGTGATGGTGCTCGCCTTTAATCCCAGCACTTGGGAGGCAGAGGCAGGCGGATCTCTGAATTCGAGGCTAGCTTGAGATACAGAGTGAGTTCCAGGAAAGGCGCAAAGCTACACAGAGAAATCCTGTCTCGAAAAAAAAAAAAAAGCAACAGGCACTGGTGGCACATGTCTATAATCCCAGAACTCGGGAGGCAGAGGCAGGTAAATTTCTGTGACCAGCCTGGTCTACACTGGGAACAGCAACAGGCACTGGTGGCACATGTCTATAATCCCAGAACTCGGGAGGCAGAGGCAGGTAAATTTCTGTGACCAGCCTGGTCTACAAAGTGTGTTCCAGGACAGGGCAGTGGATAGAAAACATGGTCATATTTGAATTATTCCATCCTCTTGACTGATCCTTTCTATTTGTATTATTTTCTGAAATATTTCTCTCCAATAGTGAGCAATAGCTCCAACAGAATAGGTTAAGTAAGAGGACTACCCTGAGGAGGTGAGAGGTTTCTTAGAAACATGCCCCTCCTCTTTGTCTTTCCCTGTGGAGTGACCACATTGTCAGCCCTCAGTCCCAAGGCCAGGCCCAACTGTCGTCTCTGCCAGTTCGAGAATTCCGCCAGTAACTTTCCTTCTCTCTTCTACCCCCTGCTCTGCCCTTTTCATGCAGTGTCAGGGTTGACTCTGCTCCTAAGTAGGTGACTGATCTCTTTGTTTCAGGGGCCACACTTTCTCCCTCTCCTCCTTCCTCACCCTACAGCTCTGCTCTGGAAGAAGCAAGTCCCTCTGTGTGAGCTCTTGGCAGCCTGCGCAAGCTTGGGAAGCCTCTCACTTTCAGCTTGTCCACGGGAATTGATGGACAAGATGAGGATTTTGATCTCTAGGGTTGGTCCATGCCATCTTCTTTCCTTCCTTAGTCTCTGGTGAAATAGAATAACAAAAATGCTTTGGGGAGCAGGCAGCACAGACCCCACTGATTCTTTGCCTTCCTTAGGAAATACGGTTTTAGCAGCATAAGGCTTCTAGCCCAGGACTTCAGCTCGGAGGCCAGTGAAAAGCTGGCCTTCTCCCTTCCTCCCCTACAATCCCTCTTTTTCCCCATAGAATGAGGGTCTCCTGCCAGATCAATGGAAGTAGCTGATTTTTATTGAGTACAAGAGCTAATTGAACACTACTTGTGCTCCGGGGTTTTCATTCCCAAAATACAGGAGCCAAACACAGGCACATCCAACTTCCATTTCTTTTTGGGAGTTTGGCTTGGGAAGGAACCGGAGGAGACGACGGAAGATGGAGGTGGACAGTGGACTGGACCTGCAGAAGTCTGGGCAGTTGGGGCTGGGGGGAGGGCCTGTGACTGGGTGACACCTTCGCTCTTTTGTCAGTTGAACCACCTTAACTGGTGGTGGGGGCAGGGAGGGGAGTGAGCAGGGAGGCCACTGCCAGAGCCTCTCCTCCTGCCCAGCTAAGCATTAAGCCTTTAGGGGTGCTCAGTGCTTTCAGCTTTTTTGTTGAAACTCCCTCAGTCTGAAGGCAGGACCAGGCGGAGGAAAGATAGGGAGGTCCCGTTCTGTGGGGCTCTGCACAGGAAGAGGACGGGAGACAGGAAGGAAGCAAACCGTCAAACTGAAAAGAAGAAGAAGAAAAAAAAAAAGGGGGGGGGGTGCTTCCCCTACCTCCTTCCTTATGCTGTGGTGACAGAAGTTGGTCCACAGTGGCAATTTCGTGGGTTCACAGTTGTGAACACCGGGCTTGGAGCTGTGGTCCAGGCGGAAGACGAAATGGTGGGTCGAGCATCTCACCATCGCAACCCTAACCTGGACCCTCCTCTTCCAAGCCAGAAAGGTCAGACGAGGTAAGGGAAAAAAAGTTTAGGGAGGTGGGGGAAAAAAAAACAGTTTGGGGAGGGGAAGGGAGAAGAGAAAAGAGACAGAAAAACTGCCAACCCAACTCTGAATGCTCAGGTTTACTAGCTACCTGAGCCTGGCCATCGGTCTTGATGCCCAGATCTGAGCACTCACTAAAGAGAGTTAGACCTTCAGGAGGCTCAGCTCTGACCTTGGCTCTGATGCTTGGGGACTTCACACTCCCCAGGCACAGGCAGAGTCTCATTTTGTCTGTGATGAGCACTGGTGACCCTAAGGCCACAGTGGGATTCAATTCGAATTTTTTCCCAGTGATTTAGGCTGCTTATGTTGATTCATTTTGATTTCTTCAAGGATAACTATAAACATCAAACAATTTGCATTTGACCTTAGGTCCCCTGTTGAATTAGTTGGGCAGGTTGGTCATCAATTCTGCCCTCTGCTGGTTTTCTTTATTATTCAGAATTAAAACATCAACCACAGCAAAGGAAAGTCAATTAGTGACACTGAAAAAAATGTCACCTGTCTAAAGAAGAACAGATATGCCATTTCATCTCAGCTTGTCACATACACATGCAGACATAAGTATTCTAGTGAGACTTAAAAAGTACAGAACCTGAGACCTTCTGCAGTGAGTACCAGTATATGGGTTACCTGAATGCATTATCTGCCAGAAGATATTTATTTTTCTTTTCCACACTTTGATTTCCAGTCAATCAAATTTCTATGCTTTTAGGTCATAATTTTCTAATTGCACTCCAACCACACATCTGAAGGGCAAATATCTCAGTACCACATTATATGCATTGTAAAAAAATAACTTTTTTATTGTATAAAGTCAAAGAATATGGCAAACAGTTCAGGTGTTATTTCTGATTAAATATTTTGAAAATAGTATGAGCCATTAGATAGTTACATGGCAAGATTTGGGTATTTGTTTTGATCATGTTGGCAGGTACTTGTTACTTAGTGGAAAGCCACTTATTTATTAATTTAATAATGTCGGAATTCATTCTTTAAACCTACTAAATCAAGAAAATAAGTAATAGTAAATGAATGCTTAAAAGGGAAACACTATCCTCCAATGTAGAGAAGAGCCCTGCGCACACAGATAAAGCACCAGAAAAGCCAGGAGAGTAAAGCACACAGCTACCCCTTCAAAGGAATGAGGTGGGAAGCTGCTCTTCCTGGAATGCTGAGAAGGATGTCATTTTACAACCTGGTGATTACAATGCTGTCTGTAAGAAAGGCTCTGCCTTGTCTCTCAGAATTTGTTTTTACTTATCCCAGCCCTTTCCCCCTAAATCTTGAGCATCACTTTTAAAGCACAAAACCCACTCTTATGACGTCAGTTGTGCCTTACAACAACCTCTCTACGTTATCTTAGGGCCAGGCCAATCCCAACACCCACAGGCAATATGTTTACCTCAGTCAAACTCCCTAGACCCTAAATCTTGGGCACTATTTCTGAGTCAACAGTACCCATTCTTGTGAAAGAAGCCAGATGTACTTTCTAAGGAATCTCAGTGTAAACGTGTCTTAAATTGTTGTGCACTTGCAACTGAGTTAATTGTTATCTGAATACTTTTTTTTTTCAAAATTGTGCTGTGCTTGAATATGGATAAAGTAAAATGATCTGGGCCAGACTCTAGAAGACCTGGCCCAGCATCCAGTTACAATCAAATCAGGCTGAACCGAGTTTCATTCTTATCTCTTTGTGGATCGTTTGTTTTGTTTTTTGTTTTTTCTCCCTGCCTGCTGTAAAGCCTGTGGGGAAATCACCACACTTCACGCACCAATCACCACTGAAGGTTAAAGTAAACTCCAGTTCTCAAGCCAGGCTTTAGAACCGTAGTTAAAGGAACTGAGTGGAATTTAACATCCCTTTCTAAATGGAGGGATCTTACTCTAAGATCATCCTGACTAACGGATTTCCCAGAAGTTTGTGTGTATGCTTCAGTTGCTAAGCCTGAGGACAGAAGATTGGAACATTAAAGTTTTAACAGTATGGGTTCACAATGACATTAAAGTAGAAACAACATGCACAATGAAGTTTTGAAGTGTTTTGGAAGTGAATGGATTAATGAAATTGATCTCACATTTTATTTTACATTGAAAATATAAAGTAACTTGAAAGTCTTCAACATACAATCTCTACTATGATTACACACACACACACTATTATTTAGTGAGTATTCACTGACATCCACTTTTGTTTTATGTTTGAAATATTTGCCATGTTTCAGGGATTTTTGTGCATGCATAATTTAGCCCATAACTTACTTTAGACGAGACCTGGGGTTTATGTGAAATTTACTGTGACTGAGCTATGCCCATGCTAAGATACACACTTTATTGTGTGAGTTTTAAACCACAGTCTCAGGAAGAGCTTACTATAACTGAATGTTATGACTGATAATTGAACTTAAGAAATTATAATAGCCTTCTGCATCTAGCTGCTAAGCCAAATGTGTCTTGCAGACTGTTGGTATTTTCTAAGTATAATTTTAATGGCTTGCACCAATGGGTAGCAAGTACTGCAGAGGTGCTGTTTTTAGTGACTGGATCAGCAGGTGAAAAGAGCTGGCTCCCAGAGTGTGTGAATTCAACCTGTGAGGAGCTCAGGTTTGTCTCTATATTTAATTAGAATAAGTTAAAATATCGGGTATGCTCTTGCTGGTAAGTGAAGTATTTGGTAGGATGACTAATATTCTGTCTTTTAATAAAATGTAAGCACTCGTGAGTGAAACCTTTTTGCATGATTTATATATCAAGGATTAGTTTGGGGGTACATATGTATTTAGTTAACAAGGATTGCTTCATCTACTGCCCGCATTGTAATCATAATGTGTAATTAATATCAGTTTGAAATAAGATTATTAAGGAGATATATGAGAAATATACTTACAAAGATAACATGATTGCTTACTATTTAGTTTTTTTTAATTCCTTATTTTTCTGAATTTGTGACTAAAATAAAAGGGTAACATTGTATAAATTAAATTCTCCTTTAAGAAGAGCAAGATAACCACCACTTATTTTTGTATTGGGAGGGTTGAATTTATTTTTCTAAAATTCTTTCCTGAGGTAGATTTTACTCATGTTAATTTCTCAAGGCTCTAGTGTTGTTCGAATCTTAGATGGTCTTTTATTAAAAAAAAAAAAAAAAAAAAAAAAAAAAAAAAAAAACCCTGGATATTAGGGTAAAAGCTGAAAGATCAGAGAAGTAGAGCATGGCACAGCCACCACCTATCACCTCACCAACTCCATGAATCCTCTGACTGAAATCCTCTGAGTCTTCACCCAAAAGGGCCTCAGCTGAACTGCTTTAGTTCCTGTTCCTCACACCTTATACACCTTTCTCTGCCCTGCCATCACTTCCTGGGATTAAAGGCGTGTGTGCTTCCCAGTACTGGGATTAAAGGCATGTGCCACCACTGCCTGGCTCTGTTTCCAGAGTGGCCTTGAATTCACAGAGATCCAGACGGATCTCTGGCTCCCGAATTTTAGGGTTAAGGGTGTGTGGCGCCATTGCCTGGCTTCTATGTTTAATCTAGTGGCTGGCTCTGTCCTCTGATCCTCAGGCAAGCTTTATTGGAATACATGATATATCACCACACTCTAGTTTGTTTATCACTGTGTATTTCAAAAGCAGAATACAAGAGTATTTTTAACAGGATGACTTATTTAACGGAGTAAAAAGTACTCACATAAATTTCTCTCCTGAGAATTCTGGAGTTAGAATCTGCAGTGTGTGCTAATCAGTCCTTCTCTTTAATTTAAAAACAAAAACAAAAAACCCTAAGGTATACAACAATAACTTAGACGTTTAAAGTACTGAAATTTTAAGGACTGTGGCACTCAATGTTATACTGTTTATATTGTGATATCCAGATGTCAATATGAGATTTGGGAGCCAGACAGTGGTGGCTCATGCCTTTAATCCCACCACTCGGAAGGCAGAAGCAGGGAATCTCTATGAGTTCAAGGCCAGTCTGGTCTACAGAGCGAGTTCCAGGACAGCCAAGTCTGCATAGAGAAACCCTGTCTTGAAAAACAAAAAGAGAAACAAAAGCTAGCAAACAAACAAACAAAAAGTCAGATATGGGGAAGAAAGAAGAAAGGAGAGGTTATCCTTTATGGTTTAATGAAAGATATTTGTGTGTCAAATCGACATGGGGACAGTTCTGCTGTTTTTTATTTGTCTGTCAACCTTATCCACACTTAGGCATGTTTTAGAAGAGGTCATTTTAACTGCGGAAACGCCTCCATTGGATTGGCCTGTGAACAAGTATGGAGGACATTTCTTTTTATTGATGATTGATGCTGGAAGGCCCAGATAACTGAAGTGCTGCCAATCCTAGGCTGTTAGTGCTTCAATTTTAAAAATGCAGCCTGAACAAGACGTCAGGAGCACTCCGGTAAGCAGCATTCATTCACGGTTTCTGCTTCAGTTCCTGCCTCCTGATTTCTGCCTTTGAGTGCCTGCCTTGACTTCCCTTCCCGCTGGACTGCAGCTGAAATAACACCTTTAATTCCCGAGTAGTTTTTGGCCATAGTGTTTGATAACAATAGAAATCTAGTAAGACAACCAGGAAGATGCAGAGATTGTTTTATGATTTGCATTTGCTCATGAGGTTAATACTCAAATGCATGAGTACTGTAAAAGAAATGGGATTTACAGAGTGTCAAATCAACTATAAGCCAAACTTATTCTAACTTTTACAGATCATGTATGAATGGTATTTTATAGACACTTTTTAAAGTTTGAATGAAATCATGTAATTTTATATGACTGAGCTATACAGAGGAAATATGTATAAAATATGCTCTTGAACTGATTGATTTCCTTTGGGACATGATGTTACATGAACATCACTGTCCTATAGAAAAGTGGTTAATTATATCCAATTGCTTTAAGGAAAGGATCAAAGAGGTTTTTTGAGAATAATGTGCAGAAATAATATCTTCTTTCAACAGCCATTTAAAAGTGAAATATTATTTAGCCTGAATGTTGCAATGTTTATCAGCTTTTACTAATTTGGAATTTGTGATGTATTGTATTGCTCACTTTTAATCATTATTTGTAGATATTATATTTAAGGAATTTAATTCAAATTGTGTAAGGGGTACTATAATTTCTATATGCACAAGTGAGAATATTTTGCTTTAGACTTTTACACTTAATATATATTTGTCACAGATATTTCTTGATTTGAGCTTTATTAGGTGTCGTTAGGTCTACAAGAGCCTCTGCTACTGTAAATCACCCTGTGCAAAAACCTGCAGAATGTTGAATCTTTTACTTCAATACGTATAGAACATTACACCTTCTTTGTGTAAATTTTGCATTATCTGTTTGAAATAATTAACGTATTCCCCTAAAACTGTAACTGATTCAATACTTTTGCAATGTTTGTGCATTCATTATAATGGCTTTACCCTTGGGTAGTAACAATTCCACTCACCGATGACATTGTGTTACATGGTGGTATGGGAAGAAAGTTCTCTCAGAAGCAGGCTAGAATTGTCCTCCATGTCCATATTCTGTAAATATTAAACTTAAGGTGTGTCCATCCGGTCTAAAGCACAGTCACTCAAGAAACCTAGGCAATGTTGCAGGTACCTCACTCAGGATGGTTGTTTCTGGCTCCATCTATTGACCTGAAAATGTCATGATTTCAGTTTTCTCAGTAGATAAATGATATTTGATTGTGTAAATTGCCACATTTTATTACCTATTCACCATATGTCACACTTCTTGGCTGTCCCAGTTTCTGGCTATTACAAGTAGAACAGAAACGAACATGGATGAATAAATATCTCTGTAGTAAAATATAGAGTCTTTTGAGTCTATGCCCCAACGTGGTATAGTCGGTTCTTGGGGCATACCTAATTTCACCTTTTGAGGAGCCTCCACATTGAATTCCATAGTGACTGCTTGAGTGTGCACTGTCACCAATAACAAATAAGTGTTCCACTTTTCTTATCATCCTTCCTATCATTTGCACTCATTTGTATTATTAATCTCAGGCATTCTGACTTTGGTAAGATAGAATCTCAAATTAGCACTAATTTGCATTTACCCCAGCTCTAAAAGGGATATTCAGGATCTAACCCCTCCCCTCCCCTCAAGACTCCAAAGGCAGAGAGATTTATTCCAATAACAAATATAAGATGATGCTTCCATTTCAGTTTTCTAAATGTTGTTCTCATGAACAGGAGTGGAGTTTGTGAAACATTATTTCTTGCATGTATTGATTTTATCATAAACATTCCTATTACTTTAAAAAAATATAGTGAGTCTGGATGAATTGTTCTGAGGAAGGGAAGTGAGAGGGGAGGAGGGAAACTGGGATTTCTCAAGCTGGAGGAACAAGCCTCCTATACCCACACTGCTGAGACTTGCCTCTCTCCTGAGACATCACCTCTCCCATCTAGCCTAGGTTTTGAATATGCTGGAAGATAAACCAAAGGGAATGAGCTGGAGTCCTAAGGCCTCCCAGGGTCCAGCCAGCTTTGGAGAATGAAAAGCAGAAGGTGGGATCACAGGGCTCCTTTTAGGCTCACCCCAGTCCATATGGCTGAGGGAGAGAGAGAGGACCCGTCTCAAGATGGCTCTCCAAGCCCACATTACATCCTCCTTTTCTCCAAGTCTCTGACGTTTAGTCTTATATCCCCTAGAGAGGGGGGGCTTTGACACAGAAGGAACTGCACAGGCCAGGAGAAGGGTGCCTAGACCTCCAGGGTCTTGTTTTCCCCCTTGGACAGAGATGAAATGCCCTGCTGGGAGAGGAGATCCTACCACAGAGGGTATTCTCCCGGGGCCTTTAAGATCCTTCAGAGGACTGGAGCAAGACCCTGGGATGCTGTTGACAATAAAGGAGTGTGACAAAGCAAAGGGACTCTGCCTCCCTGAGGCAATCTCAGCCCCCAGCACAGCTTTAGTCAGAATGGTGGAGAGCATGTTCCAAAAGGGTTCTTAGAATTTAAGACAGGAGTAAGAGCAGAGCTGACCCTGTGGAACAGCAGGCAGCCTTGAGGAGCTCGGGGACGGGCTGGCTTATTCGGCATGGTCCTCTCATTGGGTTTACCCTACACAAGGAAGTGGGTAGACATTGGTTAGGTTTAGGCAATAGTGAAAAGGAGTGATCTGGCTCCTTTGGGGAAGAGAACCGTTTTTAACACTGGGGCTCACAGAATACCACAGGCTGATCTGAAACTTGCCGTGGTCCTCCTGCCTCTGCTTGACAAGTACTGAGATCTCAGGTGTGAGCCACCATGATGAGCACTTAAAAATTGTTTGTTTATTTGTTTTGAGATGTCCTTGCTTTATAAAGAACTATGTCCTGAAATCAAAATCCTTTTGTCTGCCTATCCAAAGTGCTGGGATTATAGGTGTGGGCCAGTGTGCCGGACTGGGATCTGACTCCTTTTGTCAACTTCCAATGAGCTTTCAAGGAGAGACCCAACTCTAGCAAGTTGTCCTCTAACTGCCCCCACTCGACATGTGCTGTTTTACCCTCATGCTCCCCCCCCAGACACACACACAGAGGTGGGGGGATAAGTAATAAATAAGTAAAAGTTTAACAAATCCAAAGAACCCTGAAACCTCATCGGGACCTTAGGACCCGGTCTCACATATCATTACCACTAGAAAATTGCAGAAATCTCTATTTTTAGAGAAGGGATGTATGAGGTCCCAGGACTCTGTAAGGATTCTTTCTTGTTAGATGTCAAGACTCCCCTCCCCTGTAGAAATCCCCAAGTTCTGCGTGGGGAAAGAGCTTCTCAGTTAAAGAATGGACGTGAAGGTCCTGGCAGAGGTGAGGGGTGGGAGAGAGAAGCTGTGGGGGAAGTCAGACTGTCCTGGTAGGGCTGAAGTCCTGGTCAGGGGTCGGCACGAGCACTTTTCTCCCAGATCTACCCCAGGAGTTGCTATGTCCAAATGTCAGCACGACAGAATACTCCAGGTAGGCTGGCCATCTGGGATTCTGCTGGTTGCTGCGGGGCTGGAACCCCCTAGACTTGTGAAGTCTACAATCCTCACTTAACTGCTGTAGAAGGAAGGAGTTTAATGGGGGTCACACATTGGGGGATCTGGGCAGGAAGCAGTAACGAGGCATGAGCAGGGGACGTGGTTGGAGCGCCAGCTCTCCTCCCAGGACTGGCTCCTTCTAGAAGACAGCTTCGCTCCCAGCACCCTTCGAACTGTGGGTTGGGAAAGTTGTAGACAATGGCTCTTAGTTTATCACGAGACAGGAACTTCAAATTAACACTGAAAATGCTTGTACTCTGAAGACATTTAACGTAAGTATTTTAGTTATGTTAGCTAAACTACGTGTGAGGAATTATGTTTAGTTATGTTAGAGTTCAGAGGACTTTATTGGATGGCAGTCCTCCCATCTTCTGTGACACAGGGTCTCTTGTTCACTACTGAACAATGTGACAGGAATACCTGGCCAAGGAGCTTCTGCTGATTCCCCCATCTCCGGCTCCCACCTGCGGTAGAAGAAGCTTCTGGTTTAGAGATGCTTCTGCCCAGGTTTTGGTTTGTTTCTTTTTATGGGCATTTTGACGATCCGAACTTGCATCACAAAGCTTGATATCAAATACTATAGACATTGAACCATCTTCTCTGGTCCTTGTACACATTGTCAAAATTTTATGCAATTTTCAATCATCCTGTGAGATGGTTAATTTTGATTGTTAATGGAATTTCATCTAGAACAATCTACGACCCAGGATTCTAGGCACAAGTGTGAGGAGTTATTTTAGGTATGTTAGCCTCTGTCCATGTGTCTGAGGAATTGTCTGGACTAGGTCACTGGGGAGTGAAGACTCACATTAGAATTGGGCTGTACTATTCCTTTGGCATGGTTCCCAGAATGGACAAAAAGATGCAGTTCACTGAGTATGAGCATTCATTCTTGTCTTTTTTGTAACTAGGTAAGCAACTCGACTAGCAGCAAGCTCCTGACAGAATTGCCCCACAATTTTGTCCTGAGCCCTCAAACTTAAGCCAAGCAAAACTTTGCTTGTGTAAACAATATACTAGAGCATCTTTTCACAGCAACAGGAAAAGAAATTAAGAAACACGTTGCTAGGAGTGAAGCTGTTGTTAGGGTACACCTGATTAGTTCGTTCTTAGCCAGTGGCACTGTTCTGTGGCAAGAATCTGAAATCCCTAACTTTTCCTTATTAAGCAGAATGTAACAGGCCATTCTGATAGGAGTTTGGATGACAAGACTCCGGAGAGAAACTGGTTGCAGTAGATCTGCCTAAAGACTGCTGGTCCCTGAGTAAGCCAGGGAGAGAAAGGGAACTGTGAAACGGCATTCTCCAAAGTCGATGAAAAAATAATAAACAAAGTGATCAAATTATAGAATAATATTTATTGTTGCAATAAATAATATGCACTAGGCAACATAAAGTATAATAAAGTAAAATAATATAAATGAAAAATTATTTGCAATTAATATAATATGGGAAAATGAAAAAGAAGAAATGTTTTATAAGTTTTTCTGAAACATGGATAAGTGGGAGGAGGAAGGGAGCATTTAAAAGGAATGAGCAGGGACCTGAGAACTCAGTTCTTACTCAAGGCTCCAGTCCATAATCTAAAAGCATCCCCCGGGATGCCTCTATTGATCAATGGTGGCATGTTCAATATCTGAGGAACTTTCTTATTTCTAGACAAAACCAGAAGAGCCAAACAAATTCTTTCAAATTCTGGAAAAATACTTTGTAAAAATAGTTTTTAGTATAATAATCTTAAAAGCAAGGAGAAAGAGAAGCCAAATGTAGTTTGGGGAATTGAAGTTTCTAGTTACTAAGGAAATCACAGGCAGGAAGATAGCTCAGCCAGTCCAGATGTTACCTCAGCCATCACCATCCCCCAGTTGTTGGTTCTGTAGAACAATACGAGTGAGTCTTAATGGTACTGGATGAGGAGGTCGTTTCACTTTTCACCGCTAAATGAAACATAAAATGTCATATTGACACAAACATCCTCAGATTATGGTTTCCCCTCAATTCAGGTACAATGGGCTATCTCCCTCCGCCTCAATTCAATGAAACAAATATTACCAAACCAAGAAAAGTCGACTATGAGCCTCATCTCCACACTGCACAGTGAATTGCTTATGTTAACTGTTTTTCCAACCTTGAAAGGTGCTAATGGTTGGACCCAGGGACAGCCTAGCCCCTTTATCATTCTTAACATATTTGTTGCAGTGAATCCTGTGTCATTTAAGATTTATGCCAGTGCTAAGCATTTGATAAGACTTATCTGTCATATGAGATCAAACCAACACTATTGTTGCACAAACGTAGCACGGTTTGTAGATACTGGCACAGGGCTTCATCCTCCAGAAACTTTGATGGATGTTAAAATTAATTTTTGTTTCTAAATGATCTTTTCAAAAGTAATATTATCAATAAAACTTATAAATAAATAAATATCAAATAAATCTTATGTGGCTCATCGACCAGGGGAAAGGGAGGTGAGAAATGTATAAGGAAATATTCTGGGATATTCCTTCAGTAGGAGTATATCTGTTATATATGAATATACTTATACATGCATCTATGATGTATGTGTCTATATGCGTATCTGTTTATGAACACACACACACACACATATGCACATATATTTCAATTAAAGAACAGTTTGAAATACATCCCCCATCCTGTAATAACATGACATTTTTCAGTGCTGCTGTGATGTTATTTACATCCTCCTGAAATTAGGGAATTGATATTATCCTGCCATTCATTTGATGACTATATAAATTTTTCCTTTCCCTGTAGGACCTTCCTCCTGAGGAGGAGAAGATGGACTCTTGAATTCTTGACCATTACCCTGAGGACAGGACTTTTCATTGTGACGGCCACCGTGGTTATCGCTGGCAGCCATCTTTTCATCAGATTCAGCAAAAATTATTTAGGGAATCTGAAGCTTTTTCCATGTCATTATAACTCTTTGGACTATTTCCATAAAAACAGTGGCATCTTCTAATCTTATTGTAAATGACAATTTGAGGTGTTAAATGCTTCTTTTATATTGTAACCATAGAGTATCTTTCCTTACCTATAAGTCCTCCATTGTGAGGAGGAACAGTTGGACTCATGGGCACTGCATCACTGTCCAGGGGGCATGTCTTCTCACTGGGACAGCTGTTGTCTTCATGGTCTTTGTCCTTCAACTCATCAAAGTCAGTTAAATTGTTTAGGGACCCAGAGACCTCTCTATGGGGGCAAGGCATTGAGCTCTCACCCTGAAGCAAAGTCATGTCTTCTCCAAATATTTTCTGACAGTTTTCAATGAGAAATTTTACAAGAGAAAACTATGAAAAAAAAAATGGGGCAAACAGAGGATCTCGGTCATTTCACAGAGTTGTAAATCACATTTTATATATGAGTCATGGAGGTTAAAAATGTATAATTCAAAATTCTGAGAAAAAGTCAGCAGTTACAAAATATAGGAGCTGGCTAATCATTTGAAATTTGAAGCCTATTGTGGGGTCGGATGTTAAAATGTGATCAACACAGAACAATAAATGCTATATAAGAGAATGCTTTCCAGGGTTACAAGTGTTATGGCTAATTTATATTGTCTACCTGACTATCTTTGGTTCCGTTTATCACACACATGGCTGAGCTTGTTTGTAAGGACACTTATAGAAATACACAATAAGGTGGGAACACTCTGTCTCAATGTGGGCACCATCCTATTGATAGTTCCATAGGGTGAATAAAAAGGGACAGATGGGCAAAGCCAACTGAGCCATAATAGCACTCATCTGTCTCTGATCACTCAGGGCAGTTGCAATATTAACCGCTTAATCCTCAGGTTCATTACATTGGGAGGAATCTGAAGTAAGGGCTGGTGGGAGAGAATTGGATAAGTGTGGGTCTCAACTGAAGGAGGCTGGGCCTTATCTTCTTTTCTCTGTTGGATTCCTCGCTGCATAGGGAAAAGATTTGGGGAGTCACGTGTACCTATAATGTACTCTTTAGAGGCCCAAATGCAATGAGCCAATCAATAATCATTCAGAAACTCAAAGTCTGGGTGTCTAAATAATCATATGAGTTTTATACTGAATACTTGTAATTTATTTGAAAGGCACCCACCACAGACAGCAGCAAGAGACTTTTATAAAATCATATTAACCAAGACCCAGAACAACCGTGTCTGATTTAAAAAAAAAAAATACCAATCCATATTGGCCTTGTTTATATGGGGCAGTCATTTTGAAAACAAGTAAACACGCACACATCCCTCAGTGATGACACCACACCATGAGTCAGTCTTGCTTGCTGAGCCCAGCACTGATGTTGTTTCCTGTCATCTTACAGTCCTTGCTGTCTGAAGCTGTCAAATGATATTGACAAACTGACTGAGCGTTGTGCTCAAAAACCCATTGAGAAGACTCTCAGGTTGTCCTGTATTCCCATCTCACCATGAGGACTTGACTCCCCCAGGCATACAGACCACGTCTCATTACCTTTTGGGAGCTATCATTTGCTAATCCAGGACTGTAGGATGTAGGCAGACATAGGATGCCAGGAGCCATGCAAACAGATAAACCACAAGCTGTCATCCTGTTAGCTGCAGAATTTCTTACAATGGTGTGTAACACTCTGAAAAGTAGTCTAAAGAGAAGGACACAGAGTTTAGGCAGCTGCTCCAAAGGACGGAACACAGAGACAAATTATTTTAAAACAAGAAATTGTATTCAGGAAGTCGTAAATATGAAGAAAGGGAACAGAGTAACTGGATCTTATTCATGGTCCTCTGAGAATACAATGAAATGAGGGATGTGTCCTAGAATACTGTCTGAAATGTTTCTGCAAAGTCAGTAAAATAAGACAGTATCTACTGGTGTATAATTGAATATAAACCTACTTCCACTCTTGACCTTTTCCTGCTTTGAATATAAAATTGTGGGATTTAGACCAATTCAAGTATTTATGTAGTTGCTCTGAACACCAGCCTGCCTCTATTTGGGGCTTAAAAGTCATCTTATAGTAAAGACAATTGGCTTATTCCTGTTTATGATTAAACCTCTGTTTTTCAAGGATTGGGCTGTGTGCCACCTGTGACCTTAACTATGCTTCTGTTCTGCATGTTCCAGGAACGGGAATCATGTCTTTGTTTTTTATAACCATTTTACAACCCTACCTTTGTTGAAAAAGGTTATACAACTACCTTGTTACCTTGTAACCATGCCTTTCTTCTAGGAGAGACTAACTTGTTAGGCTTACATTCTGCTCCTATAACCCTGCCTATTTTGACTGCCAAATCCCCCATTAGTAAATCCCCTATCTCTGATCTCTAAAGTCTAACAGTCTTGTCTTTCTCACATCCAATGCTGACCTTTAGAACCCTGCCTTAGAAAAAGCAACCCATGTACACTAATAAAAACTCTTGCTTTAATTAATTTGGCCATGCTGGGAGGTTGTGGCGCACACCTTTAATCCCAGCACTTGGGAGTTCTAGGCCAGCCTGGTCTACTAAGTAAGATCCAGGACAGGCACCAAAACTACACAGAGAAACCCTGTCTCGAACTCTCCCCCCCCCCCAAAAAAAAAAAGAAGAAAAAAATTAATTTGATCATATTGATTGAGGTCTGTGGTCTTTCACTTCTGGTCTTTGGGATATACTGCTCTCTGTGTACAGGACACATTAACTAGATAACTCATGGCATGGCTGCATGTGTTTCCTTAAACATACTGAGTTAACACAGATAAACTTCTTTTTGTTATTTGTAACTGAGATACTTTGGATCTTAACAGGAATTCTCTGATATTTCCCTCTCCCCATTCTTAACCATTTGTTAACATTTCTCAGAATTCCAGTTTCAAAATGCTGAGTGACAATGGCAGAGAACAACATGGACGATGGAAGTGGCAGGGGTTAGTGTCTGTGCTCATGTGGACACAGATACACACCACACACAATCCTTGCTTCTAGAAGGAGGCTATGGGGATGTGATGGGAGCTTTATGGGCAGAACTGATATTTCTGAATTTTTTTGACCCTGATATAGTTAAATATTCCAGTGAAGTTTACCTACACAATGTCAAACTGTCTTGATTGTGCTGGCTTGAAAAGTCCAGTTTCCTAAGTGGGTAGCTAAGCTGTTTCCTCTATTTTCTGGGTTGGGAGGATCCCCATAGAATTTAGCAAGTTGCAGTACTACTTCCTGGTCTGCAACTCTAAGGCAAAATAAAGCTTTGAATCCCCAAGTTGTTTTTGGTCATGGTATTTTAATCACAACAGAAAAAATCCTAGTAAGACAAGCATGAAGCAGCAGAGATTTTACTGTGATTTGAATTGGTCCATGCTGCTTAATATTCAAATGCATGAGTATTATAGAAGAAATTAGAATCTTTAAGTGTTGTCAAGATAATCTATAGAAACTTCCAACTTTTTCTAACATATGAAAGATATGTGATTGGTACTTTAAGAAATTTGATTAGAATGTCATAATTTTAATGACTATGAGACGCATAGATGAAATTTTCATAAAATGTGCTAAGCAAAGGCTGAATCCTCTGGGATGTGATGATGTTACATGAACATTACTGTCTTGTGGAGAAGTGACCAATTATATCCCCTACCACCATTGTTTTAGGGAGAAGGCCAAAGTGAATTTAGTCAATAGTATGGAAACAAGACAAGTTTTTCTCTTTCTTTTCTTTTCTTTCCTTTTTTCTTTTCTCTTCTTCCTTCCTTCCTTCCTTCCTTCCTTCCTTCCTTCCTTCCTTTCTTTTTTCCTTTTCCTCCTCCTCTTCTCCTTCCTCTCCTTTCTTTCTTTCTTTCTTTTTTTTTTTTTTTGAGACAGTGTTTCTCTATATAGCCCTGGATGTACTGGAACTCACTCTGTAGACCAGGCTGGCCTTGAACTTACATATCTGCTTGCCTCTGCCTCCCAAGTGCTGGGATTAATGGTAATGGCATGTGACACCACCACCCTGCTACAAGACCAGTTTCTTTAAACAGCCATTTAAAAGTGTTGCATTATTTTTCCTGAATATTGTAGTATGTATTCTTATCAGCCTTTATAAATTTGGAATTTGAGGTGGATTGTATTGCTTATCCTTAAGAAAAATTCACCTTTAAAGATTGTATTTAAGAACTTACTGCTTCAGATTGTGAAAGGGGAAATATGATGTGTAGACGCACTAGTGAGAAGAGTTTGCTTCATTATTCTACATTTAATATATGGACTTGTAACAAATATATCTTGATTTGAGCTTTTATAAGTTTAATTATGCCCATGCCTACAGGATCCTCTGCTTCTGTTTTTGTAAAGCACCCAAAGTCCAGAATTCTTCAGAATTTTTTAGGACCTTTTTTCTGTAATACAGGAGTGTACAGCACACCAAATTTGAATATGCTTTTGCATTGTTGGTCTTGTTGTGTTGACCCATTTGAAATAATTAAATTATTTTCCCAAATTTGTGTCTTGTCAATTCTTTGGACTGTTTTCAATGCACTCAAAAAGTGCGTAAAGCTGAAGATTGTGTTTGTTAGTGATTTTATGTTCAGTTTTTGTTAACACAAGCCAATAAGAGCCTCCCATAAAAATAAAGGTCTAGTTATTTAATTATTCATTCATTCAATTTGGTTTCTCAAAATGGAGTTTCTCTGTTTAGCCTTGGCTGTCCTGGAACTCTGTCTATAGATAAGGCTGGCCTTGAACTCATAGAGATTACCTGCCTTTGCCTCCCACATGCTGGGCTTAAAGGCATGTACCACCACTGCCCAGCCCATAAAGGTCTTTTTTTCCTATCTCCTGTAGTTGGTCATATATTGCATCTCATAGATATCTCCTAAATTAACTTCAGATTGGACCTTGGCATAGTAATCTTTGACAAATGGGCCATTAGGTAACACTGACCACTCAAGCTGCTGAAAACTATTCTTTTACTGTGCGAAGAAGGCTGGACATACTTGCGGTAGACTGAGAACAAATCACAAGCCAGTTCAAGTGACAGACAGGCACCATTTGTTGCTGGAGGGCTTCTCTCCAGGTTCCACCAAGCCCTGCAGTCCTATAATCCACGTATAAAATAATCACTCAGACGCTTAGATTATTTATAAACTGTATGGCCGTGGCAGGCTTTTTGTTAACTGTTTTTATATCTTAAATTAACCCATTTTTATAAATCTATACCTTGTCACATGGCTGGTGGCTTACCGGCGTCTTTACATGTTGCTTGTCCTGGCAGTGGCTGCAGTGTCTCTCCCCCCTTCTTCCTGTTTCCCCAATTTTCCTCTCTCCTTGTCCCGCCTACACTTCCTGTCTGGTCACTGGCCATCAGTGTTTTATTTATGTGAACGATATCCACAGCATTTTGACATGTCAGTGACCCCCAGGTGAGCTCCTGTTACTGCACATCCATGAGCCACACAGCTAAGACCAGATCAACTGCCCAGCTTAGCATCCTACAAAGAAGTCATGAACAAAACATGCATGAACAAAAATAAAGAAGATGTGTAATATACCATAAGCAAATACATTTAGGTCATATAATATACTGAATAGAATCCAAATCACAAAATAGAGAAACAGATA